GCATCTGAAACCGCTTTAAGATTTTCAACCACTTCAGATCATTTCAGAGGTTTCAGGTGGGGAGACCTGAAACCTCTGAAATGATATGAAGTGGTTGAAGCTTCTGAAAGCGGTTTCATTTCCCCCCGTCCAAATGCTTGGATGGGGGGACCTGAAACTGCTTTCAGAAGCTTCAACCACTTCATATTATTTCAGAAGTTTCTGATGGAGAGACGTGAAACCTCTGAAATGATTGGAAGTGGCTGCAGCTTCTGAAAGTGGTTTCAGGTCCCCTTATCCAAATGGTTGGATGGGGGCATCTGAAACCGCTGTCACATTTTCAGCCACTTCAGATCATTTCAGGAATTTCAGGTGGGGACACCTGAAACGTCCGAAATGATATGAATTGGCTGATGCTTCTGAAAACAGTTTCAGATCCCCCCGTTCAAATGCTTGGATGTGGGGACATGAAACCGCTTTCAGAACCTTCAGCCACTTCATATTGTTTCAGGAGTTTCAGATGAAGAGACCTGAAACCTCTGAAATGATCTGAAGTGGCTGAAGCTTCTAAAAGTGGTTTCAGGTCCCCCCATCCAACTGCTTGGATGGGGGCATCTGAAACCGCTTTCAGATTTTCAGCGACTTCCGGTCATTTCAGGAGTTTCGAGTGGGGAGACTTGAAATCTCTGAAATGATTTGAAGTGGCTGAAGCTTTTGAAAGAGGTTTCAAGTCCCCCCGTCCAAATACTTGGATGGGGGGACCTGAAACTGCTTTCTGATTTTCTGCCACTTCATATCATTTCAGGAGTTTCAGATGATAACCTTCTCTCCATTCAGGAGTTTCGGGTGGGGAGACCTGAAACCTCTGAAATGATATGAAGTGGCTGAAGCTTCTGAAAGCAGTTTCAGGTCCCCCTGTCCAAATGCTCGGATAGGGGGACATGAAACCGCTTTCGGAAGCTTCAGCCACTTCATAGTATTTCAGGAGTTTCAGATGGAGAGACCTGAAACCTCTGAAATGATCAGAAGTGGCTGAAGCTTCTGAACGTGGTTTCAGGTACCCCCATCCAAATGCTTGGATGGGGGCATCTGAAACCGCTTTCAGATTTTCAGCCACTTCATATCATTTCAGGAGTTTCGGGTGAGGAGACCTGAAACCTCTGAAATGATTTGAAGTGGCTCAAGCTTCTGAAAGAGGTTTCAGGTCCCCCCGTCCAAATGCTTGGATGGGGGGACCTGAAACTACTTTCAGATATTCAGCCACTTCATATCATTTTAGAAGTTTCAGATGGAGAGACCTCAAACCTCTTAAATTATCTGAAGTGGCTGAAGCTTCTGAAAGCAGTTTCAGGTTCCCCCGTCGAAATGCTTGGATGGGTGTATTATGGGGAACTGAAAAAGGACCTGAAAATATTACGAGTTGTTAACCTTCTCTCGTCTTCGGTGCCAGGAGGGCAGGTGAGACACCACGACCAGGGTTGTCGACCCTCGGACCCGGGGCCCCGGCTAGGGTCCCGGGGGTCGGGGGTCGGCACCCCCGGCCCCGGCTTTCCAAAAAAAAAAAAACTGGGGGGTGCGCACCGCCGCCTGGCAGCCCCTGGCGATTTATCGATTTTCGAGAAA